TTTTGCATATCTGGCTGCTCTAGCTTAGCACAACATCTTCTATGCTGTAGTATGTGAGAATTTCATTTTTAATGTTAAAATTTGTATTTATAATTATCATGCATGTTTGCATGTGAGATCCAGGGACAACTGAGTGTCTTGGGTCTCTCCTACCGTTATGAGGGCTCTGGGGTGGTGATCAAGTTGCCAGGCATATAGTGCCTTTACCTGCTGAGCCATCTTAAAAGCCCTGTCCTATCCCTTTTGTAAAGCTGACTGACGCTCTGTCATCTGTATGCAGCACACTTCATTACCTCAGGCGTCAGTTGGTGGACAGACACCACCTCAATGTCCACCTTACCTTCTTTGGGGTATGTATCCACAGTTGGGATCTGGATATACACTCAAAAGTTCAGCACATGGCCACAAAGGCAGTGCCTATCTATCTGCACTCCCTGTCTACAGTCTTTCTGCAAACTTCTAGTACACTGTGGAGATATAATTGTACTTGCTTGCATTTTTTAACATTATGGTAAGTACCCCTTTCAGTGTCTCTAAAATCCATTTGTATTTTCCCCACTGGATCCTGTGTTTTGTGCTTTCCCAGAATCTCTTGGTTTAGTGTCCATTTCTTACTGATTTGTCTAAAAGGTTTCAAATTTAGAGAAGTGATTTGTTTGTTTGTTTGTTTGAGACACTGTTTATGTAGTTCTGGCTGTCCTGGAACTAACTATAGATCAGGCTGACCTCGAACTCAGAAGTCTACCTGTCTCTGCCTCTGGACTGCTGGGACCACTTCACCAGACTAGAGATTTTTGGTCCTGCATGGCATGTGTTTTTCCAGTTTATTGTTTACATGAACAGCCAGTTTTATCAGGTTTCTGTGCTTTTTATTTTTTTGGTCATCTGTAGAGAGGATACCCTTCCACCTTCCTGGCTCAGACACAGCTGAGAGAGAGACCACAAGGGTTGCTTGTAGGTCTGTAAATGATATGGCTGAAGCCCAGGGCTATTCTCTGCCTCCTTTCCTTTTCCCTTCCTCTCACACAACTGGAAAGAAGACCCTTAGAGCTTTTAACCTGGAGCCCCCGGCAAAAGGACAGGCAATATACTATAGACAGGGTTTGTGCAAAAGCCTTTAGACCAGTCCATGTACCACAAGTTCTAAGAAAAAGTCCAGAAAACTGCAGACTCTGAGCAGTCCTGCCTGAATGGGAACTGTCCCCTACATGCTAATCTATTTGAACAACCTGATCCCCAGCTGCTGGAACCTTTGGGATGGAGGGAGGCATGGCTCCCACCACAACCGAAAGCTGTCCTAGCCAGCATTCCTAACCTGCAGTGATGATGGACAAGTCCCTCTGAACTGTGAGCCCAGGACACCCTTCCTCCCTGAGGTTGCTTCTGCTGCTCGTGTTTTTATCCCAGTGCTGTTTGGAAAGCTACCAGATACCAGATCCAGGAAATAATTTACTGCTTATTTTTACCCTTTTCAGGAATGCATCACCATCTCCAGTCACCTCACAGCAAAATGCCTAGGGCCTTCCCTGGAGGGTAAGGCATCTAGTGAGTGCTGACCTGGGTGGGTTGGGCGGGGGAAGACGCTGGCCTGCTTTCTTTCTTTCTTTTGCTTTCTTTCTTTTCTTTTCTTTTTTTTTTTTTTTTTTTTTGGTTTTTCAAGACAGGGTTTCTCTGTGACTTTGGAGGTTGTCCTGGAACTAGCTCTTGTAGACCAGGCTGGTCTCAAACTCACAGAGATCCTCTGCCTCTGCCTCCCGAGTGCCGGGATTAAAGGCGTGCACCACCGACGCCAATGGAAGCCCCAGAACCTCCTGGCTGCTGGCTGACGGGCCTCTGCAGTGTGCTGAATCCCAGATGTACAGGAGATGAGGGTGTGTACACCATGGCAGTGGGTGACAAGAGGCAGATGCAATCAGATTCCCTGTGGGGAACACAGGACAATGCAAGACAGAATGGTGGCCTTGGGGCTAGAACTATGGAGTGTGTGCCAGAAGTAGAGACGCTCAGGTCTAGTCCAGGGCATGAGGTGGCTGTCTGCAGATATGAACATATCATGAGGACATGAGCAATAGGCAGGGCAGTGATAGATGATAGGAACCATGGTGAGTAAGCAGAAGGCCCCGTGTGTCACCAGCTTTGGGAAGATGCTGGCCCAGTATATGCTGAGCTGCTGCAACCAACTTATGGGTCAAGGCGTGAAGCTTGAGAACCGGCTGGCGGTAGGAGCCACAGGAGGACACTGGCAACCTTGGCAGAGGCAGTTCCCTCATCCTCAGTGTTTAGCCCATTCACTTACTTGCTCACCAGAAACCAGCCTTCTGTGAGTGGGGCGTGTGGATTCAGGGCAGTATGTGGAATATTTCATTTCCCTCATACCTTGCTCCCAGAACCTTCCTGGCCCTTCTTGGAAGTTCATTCTTCCACATGAGTTTTTGGACTCAGGCTGTGTAATTCTACTAGCTTCTGCTGGATCTGATTTCTGTAGGACATTTCAGGGTGAGCCACCTGCTCATAGCTGTGGTCCTCTACCAGGAATGTCTGGACATATTGGTTCACATCATTGCAGGCAGGGGTGCTTCCAACACAGCCCTATGGCAAAAAAACAGCAATCCACAATGCTGGTTATACCTCATTTGAGAAGGAATTCTTGCCAACATTCCCTCTGCCCATCCTTCTGTGCTGTTGGGCTGTTTCCTGGGTCTGGGATAGCCAGGGGGGCGTCCCCTGCTGTAGATCCTTTCTGTATTCTAGGCCACAGCTGCAGTGTCAGCTCAGGACCTGCCTTCCTGTCACAAGCGTGGAGGCAGGAGCTGTCTGAAAGGAGCAGGAACAAGCTCCTTGTCCTTGCCAGAGCCACCTGCAAAGGGCCAGAGCTGGAGCTGCCTGACAGTGTAGGTTGGTAGGGACAGGGACACCCACACCCACGCACCCAGGTTCCCTTTTTGCAAACAAGAGTCCTAGCAGAGCCCTGTAGACTTCATGCTGTGTGGACCACCAGACAGACAGACTGCCATTTCTACAGACAGGAACAATGCTTTCAGTATCACAGCACACACACCCTACCCATATGCGGGGTGTATGAGGTGTGTGCCCAAAAGGGTTAGAGGAGCATGGCTCATAAGGAGGGTTCATCTTGCTTGGTATCTGGCTTTTAGAAGCCTGTTTTGTCTTAACATTGGATTGGGGGCTGTGAAACGGCTTTGAGGTGATTCATAAAGACTTCATGTTAAAATTCACTATCCAGCTAGGAGCAGTGCCATGTACTGGTGGGAAAGAAAGAGGGAGAGCACGCACTCTCCGTTTCTCATGTTCCTCTGACTACAGCTGTTCTGGATTCCTTGGCACTAGAAGATACCTTACCAACCACTCAGCATCTCTGTGCCTATGTCATGCGACTTGTTCCAGCTGCCCTTCCTCAGGCCCCTGTAGACCTGGCCTCTATCCCTGGACATCAGACCTTTACGTGAATGTGGTTGAGCAGCTAAACACCATTACAAAGAGCTGGCTTCCCAGAGCTCTGATGAGACTCCTAGTCGGTGGCCAGATGTCAGGGAATGCCATGTCAGATGACTGAGCACCCAGAAGCTGACTCACAATGCTTGGCACAGTTCACCCAGCCTGGTCCTGCCTGGGTAGACTGAGTCATGGAGGAGCAGAATGGACATGATTCCATCTTTCCTCACTGCTGAGGAACACGAGTGTGTGCTGTGCTCTCTTCCCATTGAGAATGGAAAGTAACTCAGTAACTGTATCAGCAAGTGTGGTTACAATCAAGCTTGGCTTACAGGAAAACATGAACACAACTCTGAGTACACACACCTCTATCTGCCTTCCAGTTATTCTTCCTTCTTTGGTGATAGAACCCCAGCTTGCCCTGAAGATAAAAGCCATTAACTAGTCTTTTCCAGGCAGGCCTAAGGTTTGTAAGACCTGAGGCTACCATAGGTAGGAGAGGGAAAGTTTCTTCTCTTTGGGAAATAACTGAATATAAAATTAAGTACATTTTATTTAGAATGAAAAAAGTAAGAAGTCCACCCCACCCCTCCTGGGAACAGCTTGGCAATGTAGTGGGCCCAGCAGCAGGGTGAGTAGAAGACAGACTGAGCAAGCACATGCTGGTCAGCATTTTCCCTGGATGCACAGATGCAAGAGAAAAGCCAGGGCCTTTCACTGTATGCCACGGAGCCTCATGGGACCATGACTATAGCCATCCTGTCCTCTCTTCCCAGGTGGGATGTTCTGAGCAATAAAGCTGACCTGCATATGGGGCAAGGGTTCCTGTAGCAAGTCTATAGGACTGCAGCTTGGTGGCTTCTCTGCTCACGCAGTGCCTGCTTATGTATCTTCTTGCTAGGAAACAGAACAGACACGCCCAGCGTTCCTGTTACATACAGCAAGTGCAGAAGAGAGACATTGATTTTCAGTTCCCAGCTCCTCTGTCTTACTAGACATAGGGCATCCAAGAAGCACATATTTATTTATTTATTTATTTATTTATTTATTTATTTATTTATTTTGGCGTGTTCTCGGGGCTTGCGGGAGGGGAAGTACTGACCCTTCTCTGGTCACCTGTATTCCCTTGGCTATGATGGATGCATGGTAGCATTTCCGCACTGAGGATCAAAGAAGGCAAGCACTCATTTGTGTGGTGCAGCCTCATCCCCTGCAGGGCACATGTCTCCCTCATCACTGCCAGCTTCATCAGGGTAGGCAGAGTAAAAGGAATCAGTAAATCCTCCCGAGCTAGCCGTCATCATCCAAGGCTGTGTGGACGAGAGAGTTCACCCAAGACTGGAACCTAACAGGTGATCTGGGCCTTGCCCTACACAATACTGATGGACCTCCTTGGCCAACTGGTACAGAGTGCATCGGAAGGAGGTGCCACACGTCACTGAACTGGGCCAAGGCATCAATGTGTTCAGCCATTCTCACTTGCTCTGGGCCCACCAGACAGCACCCCATACACGTGGCTCACACTTTATGTGCTGCCTGCTAGACCTGAGCTCCAAGCTCCTGAAGGAGCTCTCTCGCCAGTTTTCTTGAGGCTTCGACACAAAGATGATCCAATCTGTACAAAGTCTGGTCAAGAAAGCCAACAATCTCATGGGTTACAGCATCCGTGTGGGCCATCTGCAATGAGGAAGGAAAGGAAAGATGAGCATGAGCCTGCAGGGGAAGTGTGGTTCACTTCTGCCTTGTTCACAAGGTGATTATCAAAGCATGTCTGTCCCCAGGGGTCCCACCCATACAGCGGGACCACTTCCTGATGACCAAGATCCCCACTGGGACCAAAGTGGTCCCAGGCTCTCCAGGCCCTCAGACAAGCGCTGTGGAGGCGGCCAGACTTCCCAGCACACTGGGATTGTGTGCTGTGAGGGGCAGACAGCATCTATCACTTGAATTCCTTTCAGAGGCTTGCCCTGAGAACCAGAAAAGGCCACCTGCTTCCGTACAAGTCTCCTGGGCCACCCACCAGCAGAGCAGCAGGCACGGCGAGTGGTACTTTAACTTTAAAGGCCTTGAGGTACTCTTGCTTGTTGACGTTAGTGCCGCCTTTACCCAGGATTCAGTAGACACTCTCAGACGTGATCTGTGCAGGATGTTAACTAGGATTCCTTTTAGGTGCAGCAACATTAGGAGCCCTGAGTGTGGAGGGAGACACGTTTGTTGTGTGTCAGGCATACAGAGCTTTCAGGTTTAGCTCCAGCTCAGCTTCCTCTCGTCAATCTTTCTCCAGGGTGAAGAACCACCCTAGGTTTGCCCTCACATTGTGGCTTTGAGCCTTCACTGGCCCATAGCCCAACCTTCCTCCACCAGTAAAGGGAAGCACAGCTAGGGAAAGCTGCAGTCTCAACATCTATATACCTTGGCCATGTTGCTGAGGTAACAGCTCTAGATGGCCTGGGTTCTGGGAATCTGACCTGTCACTGCCAGGTTGTGACTCAAAAGTCACCAATGTTTGGTGCTGCAGTGACCTTAGTTAGAAGCAGCCTCTGTCCTTCCTGGGGTATCAATCCCTAGATGCCTTAAAGATGTAATGTATGTCTACACTGTGTGTGGGCACAGAATGCCTCCCACTCAGGCAGGTAGTGACTGCAGTCTAACCTCACACCTTTCCCACACATGGAGTCACACAGGAACATGCCCCACAGTCAGTGCTGCAACCTTAGAGCCAATCTCTCCATTTCAGACTGATGGAGGAGGGAAATGCACTGGAAGACAAGAGGAGGTCACAAAACCGCAATGAGGGCAGGCAGGGTGGAGAAGGCTCAGAGCACAAACTGGTGCTGTAAGCGCACCCATCCTAGCACCAGCCAGAAGGCAAGCATGTGGCAGCCTGGGGCAGAGCAGATGGCTACTGAGGTCTCTGGCAACTCAGAAGGCCAAAGCCAGAAAGGGAAGCCCATGAGAGAAGCAGGAGCCAACCCCCCAGGCTGGAGTTGGAGGGAGTTGTGCTGTATGGACAGTGTGCTAAGGGTGAAGGCAGTCTGAAGGACGTGGGCTACTGCCTGCTCTAGTTCCCAGCATGCTGGCTCTAGCCCAGCTCTCCAAAGCTAGCTGCTGAGGCCAAAGGCACACAACATGCCTGAAGATGGCTCTATATCAGCTCTCTTGAGTTTATATGACTTCTGCTCTAAGGCCAGGGTCCTCAGGTGGTGACACCCACACTGTTCTTACAGAAGTGTCCTTTTGCACAGGACTATGCTGTAGGTAGACAACTCCTGCCATTGACTGGGGTGGGGGTCAGAAGCCCAGCTATCTAAAGCCTGGGGCCAAGCCTCCTGTAAAGGCAGTTTCTGGCAGCCCGCTGGACTCCGGGATGGAGCACTTGGAGGAACTCGTGTATGGCTTTCACTGTACTTTAGGCAGCTGAACTAACCTGGGTTTCTGTGATGCTGCAATGCCAGGTGTAGATTAGCACAGTTAGTGAGTGGCTGGGACAGGCCCCATTAGTGGGTGTGTGCTGTACAGTGCAGGACTTCCCCTCTCAGAAGTCTTGGCATGAGTGAGCAATGCGACCTGTCTTGAATATGGAGAGCTGCTGTCTTCAGGAGGTTTTGCTGGGGTCCTTTCCTCACATCTTAGGCAGGACCTAAGCCACTGTAGTAGGTGAGGGTGACAACTGAGAAAGAGCGGGGACCATGTGGCCCTGGAAGACATGTCCCAGCAGCAGGCTGACTCTGTCCACAGATGTAGTGAGCATTTACAAAGAGGTCAGACTCACACTTCCATAGTTCAGAAGCCCCTACTGTCAACAGCAGCAGAGTTGGCGTCACTACAGAGGTAGCACAGTTGGAAAAGTCCCAGCCATCTGTCCATGCTGTGTCCCTGTCACTCAGTGAGGCCCACACTTCATTCTGACTTCCAAGTCTTCTCTGTCCTGCGCTCTCCAGAATCTCATCCAGGGCACAGCACAGTCCACCATCCTGCTCCTCTCACTCTTGATTGTGAAGGTTCCTCAGAGTCTCCTTCCGACTACCTTGAAGAGGACCAGAAGTTCTGTGCAATGTCCCTAACCTGGGTTGTGTCTCATGTTTTTCCTCTGATGAGACCTGGACTATCGTTTTGCTGTTTTGTGTGTGGCAGCTGATGGTAAGTGGGATTTAAGCCGCCAGTGACCAGTTGTATACATTAAGTTTAATCAAGTGGGAAAGGCCCATTGTAAACCTGAGTGGTGCCATTGCACGAGCTGGGGTCCTAGACTGAATAAAGCGGTTAACTTAGGCGAGTATAGACATTGGTGGAGTTCTGCTTTTGCATAAGGATGCAGTGTGACCTGCCACCTCAAGCTCCTGCTGCTGTGACGTCCCCATCATGATGGACTGTGAGCCAGAGTAAAGAGCCTCCCCAGTTGCTTTCCTCTGGGTGTTTTATCATATCAATAAGAGAAGAAATCCAAGAGACCACACAAAGAGTCCCTCTCACCACGTGACATGAGGTGTACATGCTAGCCTGTCTTCCCGCCCCCGGAAGCTGACGGAGCTACTGCAACAGGCCTGCCAGGGAAGTTGGCTGGTGACTGCAGGCCATATGGAGTTCTCCTGTCTCAAGTGGACTACGTGCTGCCGTTTGTTTCCTGGTGATAATTCTGCTGTCCACACTGTGAAGTGATTCCCAGTCAATCTGATTAACACAGCATTGCCTTGAACTCTATGCAGAACACTTCAGGTGTAGCTGGGAAACTTTCAAGTGGAATCACGGAGTCAAGATCTACTTGTGGCTGCGATACTGGACCTTTTGTCCAAGATGCCGCATGCGGAACATGCTAGGTGAAGTGTGATGAGGCAGCATCCAGCTTGGTGACAGCCTCTGTTCCTCAGCGCCACATTCTGCTTTGCATGCTCTTGAGGCATGTGTTTTAGGATCATACTCCGTAGATTTCTGAGTGAATTATTGTGCTGGGCCTTGAGGTGCCCCAGGGCAGGAGAGGGTTAGCCTCTGCACTGACACAGGTGGCTGCTGTCAGATGGGCAGAGGGCTTTGGCAGGGAGGCAGCTACCTCCTGGACTCTTCTAGTGTTCACATTCAGACTGAGACCCAAGTGGACAAGGAAAAGCCCTTTCTTGATTGGGTTGCTGGCTGCATGAGTTCTTTTTTTTTATTTTGTGTATAAAACTTCATCAAGCTGTGTATGTCACAATATGTTAATAATTCAAAAAAAAACCTGAAAATAAAACTCCTGTAGTCAGCAATGTGTTTCACCTTTTTGGTTTCTTTTGAGACAGTATCTCGTGTAGCTCAGGCTGGCCTCCAGCTCACTGTGTGGCTGAGGATGACCCTGTACTCCTGATCCTCCGGCTTCTGCCTCTCACATGCTGGGATTCCAGGCCTGCACTCCTGCATTCACAATGTTGTACGACCATCACCACCCATCTCCAGACAGTCTGCACAGGTTAAACACCAACTCCTCATACCTGTGAAGCAGACTCAGATAGGTGGACTCCTCTAAGAGTTTCCTTCCAACTGGCTGATTTCACATAGCACAAAGCCTTCGGGGTCCATCAGTGTCACAGGTGGCAGAAATGCCTTCCTTCCCATGGCCAAAGGGTACTTACTCCATGGTATGTCTGCACAGGCACCTATGTTTATCCAGTCACGCATTCCTTCTTGCTGCTGTCAACAGCTGAAAATTCTGTTACACGGATACCTGTTTAAGCCTCTACTATCAGTTCTTTGGGGAAAGACCTGGGGGCAGGGCCACCATGCCCCACAGTTAGACTTTCTTTTGAGCAGTGGCATTCCCTACTGGAAACACCTGAAAATGCCACTCTGATTCTCAGGACTGCCTCACATGTTCTGCAGTAACCAGCTGTCTAGGAGTGTGTGGTGACAGCCATGCCATGGGCATGTATCTTCCCGGTGCCTCTGAAGTGTGGTAACTGCAGTGCCATGGGCATGCATCTCCCGGGTGCCTCTGAGGTGTGTATGGTGACAGCCGTGCCACGGGCATGCGTCTCCCGGGTGCCTCTGAGCAGCCACACATCTTCCTTGGAGAAGGAAGATGTCCAATTCCTTCACCCTCCTTTGTTGTGGGCCCTAAGAATTCCATACGTACTCTCAATACACAGCTCTTGCCAGATGCATCCCGACCCTGACCTCCTCTCACTCTGGGCATCGTCCCTGTACTCTGGTATCACCCTTTGGTGCACAAGTTTTAAACTTTCATGTACTCAATTTATCTATCTTTCCCTTTCATTGTTTCTGGTGTCATAGTCAAATCATTACTTCGAGGTCTTATGCCACTGTCATCCATTCTTGACACAGTGACCTGTCTGCCTGACCACAGGCCCAGCACCACAAAGCCACACCAGTGACCTGTCTGCCTGACCGCAGGCCCAGCGCCACAAAGCCACACAAAAGCGAAATGTGTGACAGCTGCCTTTTAGTTGTTTTTCAGATACTTTGCCACAGCAGCAGGAAAACTAATATATAATTAACCGATTCTTTGACCCGTTATAGTGAATGTCGGCTGGACTCTTCTTCCCAAGACGAGGGAGGCAGTGACTAAGAAGCAGGACACCCAGCTCTAACTGCGGGGTGGGGAGTGGCAGCAGGACATGTGCTTGCAAGGTGAGAGACTATCTTGCCCTTCACGTACCTCTTGTACAGCAAAGAGGGTTTGGGGCCTGTGCCAGCTGGGGCCCTACTGACCTCCATACCCTGGGGCAGCATCCTGGGCCTATGCTCTCGAAGGCCAGGACCCTCAAGGAGGTAATCTACCTTTAACTTGGAGTGTAAATATGAAGTATAGGTTGGAAAAAGAACAACTTACATGGGTGACAGCTTCCCTGGCAATCGGATGGCCTTCCGGGGTCCAGAGCAAGAGGCTAAGAAGAAGGCGCCTGACCAGCTGCCCGCATATGGGTGCTCTGGGGGCTGCTTTCTGCACATCGACAGCTGACAGACGCTCACCTCGGAGCAGCATCAGCAGATGGCTAAGCAATGCCTTCAGCTCCACCTGGGTGACACAAGTTGAGAAGGTGAGACCCTAGGGAGGCAAGTGACCCTAGGACTTGTCTGATGCTTTGATGCCCAGGGAGAGGAAGAGCCAGGCACCAAAGCTCAGCTGATAAACATAGCTCTACATAAACCCAAATGGGTTTAATGGGAATTTCTTAGCTTTCTTTCGTCTTGCCCACCAAGCAGCCAGGGCACTGTGCCAAGACCTGACCTTTTTTTATATGAAAGCAAGTGAAGGCAAGTCCTCAGCAGAATGTGGTCAGAATTTTCTTATTGTGGGAGAAAACAAAAGGCCCCTTGAACACGACCCCTCACTATAAGCCACAATCAGCTAGAGCCACAGGCCCACTGGGCGGTGCTGGTAAGAATACAGGGGCTGCCCTTGCCTGGGCTGGCTGAGGGAAGCACAGGCCACACACACACAAGCTCGTTTGTTTTGTTGCAGACACTGGGACAGTTGTTCGTACATGCTCACAACTCAAGCAGAGGTCACAAGTCTGTGGAATCCAAATAACAACAGTAACTGTTCTAAATCTGTGGGTTGTTTTTGCATAAAAAATATTTATTTCATGCTGAGACTCCTGTGGCTCACCGAGCAAGGCAGAAGCCTGGGGCAGCAGAGGCAAATGCAGCACATGGTGTATCCTGCCGAAAGGCTCTCCAGCCTGTTCTGAGAATTCCCACGCTGATTTCGTGGGTCTCTGAGAGCTGCTTCTCGCCTGCAAGTTTAGGCTCCATTCAGAGCCATCTGTCATGGACAGCCGCACACTAGGAGTGTTGTGTGAGTGCTTCTGACCACAAGGGTGACTGTGAGAAAGGCACCATAGTGCTCTTCTGCTGAGAGGCGCAGTGTTCCCAGGATGGCCACCACCTCAGCTGGTGAAGGCCCCTGAAGGCAAATCATCACCTCTCCCTATACTCGGGCCTGTTTTGCTCACACTGGCTTCCTCTAACATGCCTTCTATGTCTAGAAGCTTCTATAAGGCAGACGTGTGCTCTTTGAAAGTAAGAGAGAAACCTTTTTTTTCTTCTTATAAAAACTTCCTTTGCTCCCGATGGAAAACACGAAGAGTAAAGAATGATAAAACCATCCACCACGCACCCTCTGAAGGGGCTGATGGGCGATCCTGTGCTTCACGCTGAGGGACTAACTCTTATTGCTCCTCTCTCACACTTGCACGGGCTACCGTGACCAGCTGCATGCCTAAGCACTGTCTAGCAATGGGACATGGTGGCCTGCTTGTCTGTGGCTGGGATCCGGCTCCACTCACACAGGAGCAGCTTATGCAAGCTCCTGCAGTTATGAACTCTGCTTTGTGTGCAAGCAGCTTTGGGTGAATCTCTGCCTTTCCAGAAGGATTTTTACAAGTGAGAAGACATTGTCTCAAGGGTTTGAGGCTCCGACCAAGCCAAAGGTACATAAAATACACTCTTAAAAAAAAAAAATTCATGATCCAATTCAGTTAGCCAAAGCAGATGAACACAGCTGGCAGAGGTGTTCCCCAGGCAGGACAGGTATGCTCTTTACCCTACGTTCCTTACCTCAAGGATGGCCACCAGAGGACTGTCAGCACAGCACCTGCAGCTAAGTGACTGACCGTGACTTACTGTGTTTAAGTTAAGGCAAAGGCACAAACCCAGCTACACGAAATGTCTCCATGCCTTCCCGGAGTATGGTGTACATCAGCACCAAGGCATCGGTCTTGGAAGCTCTGGCTTCTAAGACGAGGCGGTGGCTGCCTCTGAGTGACCAGCTAAGGAGTAAAGACCAACGACAATGCAGACTACTCTGAATGGAGTAGCCTGCTTTTATTCAGGTGTCTGATCATCCCAAGTTAAGACCGAAACATACTTTTAAAGAAAGAAAAATAACCTGTGGATCCAAGTTAGCTCATAGAAATGGATGCCAATGCAGAACTTTCTAGAAATTAAATCCATTTTGAAAAGTCAAACATTTATATTTGTGTGTGCAACCCACGTACACAGCACGTGCATGGAGGTCAGAGATGATTTTGGGAGTTAGTTCTTGCCTTCCATGGTGTGTCCCAGGATCAGACTCAGGTTGTCAGGCTTGGCAGCTAATGGCTTTACTCACTGTAAGGATCAGACTCAGGTTGTCAGGCTTGGCAGCTAATGGCTTTACTCACTGAGCCATCTTACTGGCCCCTACAAATTAAATCTTACAGGACGCTATTCTGAATTTCAAAAGTCAGTTTCTATTGGTATCTGTGATCTGTATGGATTAACACATACCTACCAATTTAGTTTACAGGAAATCAGATACAAAATACAAATGAAAGGGCTTTTGAAATGACAAGTGCTTCATACACCTTACTTGTTGCTACTAAAAATAAGATGAAAGCTATGAACTAGGATTGCCCTTAATCAGTTCAATGTGATTGGATATATATATATATATATATATATATATATATATATATACATATATATATATATATATATATATATATTTGTATGGGTGGCATGTGTGACACAATGTGTATGTGAAAAATCAGAGGACAACTTTTGGGAACTGGTTCTCTTTCCATATCGGGGGCTCTGGGGTTTGAACTCGGTGATTTGGTGGCAAGTACCAATATCGGCTGAGGCATCTCACCATCCCAAATGTGATATTTTAAAGCAGAGACTGTCTTCTTTTTAACTAAGCAGCTATCTTCAAATATATATGAAGATAAAAACTTCTTTAAAATGCTTCACTTTGATCCAATGGTATCCTCAAATTTCAGTTCTTTTACATTCCAAGGCTCATCTTCACCACGCTATGGAAACCTTCCTAATTCTGTGACCCATTAATACCGTCCCTTGTGTTGTAACAACCCCCAACCATGAAATTATTTTATTGCTACTTCATAACTGTGATTTTGCTACTGTTATGAATAGTAAATATCTGTGTTTTCTGACAGTTTTAAGTGACCCTGTGAAAGGGTTGTTTGATCCCTAAAGGGGTCGTGACCCACAGGCTGAGAACCATTCTTTAAACAAATGAAACACAAGACTGTACTGGCCTCTGATTTGGGGACAAACGGAAGCATTGTCCTAAGCACATGGAAACTTGTTCCTTTTAATTACTAATGTGTGCAAAAAGCACTGGGGACTGCAGGCTTGTTTTGGATTTTTTGTTTTTGGGTTTTTTTTGTGTGTGTATTTTGTTTTTATTTCATGTGCATTGGTGTTTTACCTGCATATATTTCTGTATGAGGGTGTCAGATTCCCTAGAACTAGAGTTATACTCATGTGGGTGCTGGGAATTGAACCTAGGTCCTCTGTAAGAGCAGCTAGTGCTCTTAACCACTGAGCCATCTCTCCAGCCCTAGACTGAAGTCTGTAAAAGCCAACGAGTAAATGTTTGCAAGAAGATGGCAGAGCTTTAATCAAAGCATGGCTTCCTGAAATAACTACATTATACATAAATTGATGGGGAATGTACTGTGTATGTTTATCTTATTGATTGTTAAATACTGTTTGGCCAATGAGACAGCAAGTTAGATGGGACTAGGAGTCAAAGAGGATTCTGGGAAATGTAGTAGAGAAGTGGTGATCCAGGCAGGAAGTGACATAGCAAGGAGACTCATATTTAAAGAAGGAGAAACAGTAAGCGTCCCCTCTTTTCCCCTCCGCTCCTGCTCCAGCGGCAGGATGTGATCCACCGGCAAGGAGGGACGCCAATAAGGCGTCTGATAAGTCTTATAAAATATAGATTTATGATAATTAAGACTGAGCTAACAGATGAGAATCCTAGTCATTGGCCAAGCAGCTTTGAACCTAATACAAGTTTCTGTGTATTCATTTGAGCCTAACTCAGGCGGGTGGCTGGCATAAAGCTCACAGGTGGCAGTGGGGCTCAGGTGGGTTTTGGCAGTAAGATTTATCGTAACAATAAATAACTGCATCTTTGCCATAGACAAATACCCAATCCTGTACATAGGAACCCTGTTATTTAGATGACTGAGTGGTTAAATGTTGTGATTACCTCAGTACATGTTGGACTGATTCAGGAAGGCAAGTGGTAAGTGAGGTGGGAGCAGAGTGGCCAGGCTGCTCAGGAGCCAGTCTCTGCCTTGGGACAGTGCTCCTCAGAGCAGCTGTCATGCTTGCATAGCATCTTCTAGAGCATGGAGCCCTGGGGTAAGGCATGAGAGTAAATGAGGGCAGCTGAGGCCACTGAGCAGAATAACCTAGGACCGAATAACCCTGAGGACAGAAGGCCCAGAACGCGAGCAGCCTGATGGCTGGGGCAGCCTGTTGTCTCAGGTCCCTATGGAGACAGGAGAATATCACAGGCTGTAAGCTCAGCCCAAGTGGATGTGCACACACACCCAACACATACAAGTGCTCTGAGGCAGCAAAGGTAAACGGGGTAAAGGTCCCCCTTTTGTAGGTGTTTTCTACTCCCTGAGGCCTGACCCTGAGCACACAGTAGGGCCTATACCCACCATGGTCTGCACTCTCTGCTGACTCCCATCCTGTGGGCTGTAATAGAATGCCAAGAGCCACAGCAGGCCTTCAGGGGGCTCAGCTTCTGTCCTCAGCAACTGCTGCACGGCCAGATCAACCCATCCTCCAAAGTGAATGAACAAAAACCAGCTCTCGAAGGGAGTTTGCTGGGACCTGGAAGAGAGCAAGACACACACATGGCAGCTTCCTCCTTTTGTTCAGAGTGACTTTAATGCTTGTCAACTGATAGTTACATTGCACGTTCCCACTGAATTAAGACCCTCAGAGAAACAAACTGGATTCAGAAAACCTTGTGTCTCTCTCTAAGCCCACCACAGGACAACCAGAGGAACCCTCCCAAGCCCACATGTACTGAGGATTAAGGGTGTCACCTATAGAGAGATTTGGGGGCAGGGGGTGGGGTGGTAGGACTTGCAAGGCATAGTGACACCCTACAACTTGCCACTCAGGTGACTCCAGCATGAGGAGGAAGAGGCTGCATAGCAGAAACACACCATTCTGACAAGTGGACACTTAGGCAGGAAGGTCAAAACTTTTTCCAAGCTATCCTCTCATCCTCCTGGGATCTGGGTACAGTGGTAATGTGTATTAAAGGGTAGAAACCTGTTCCATCACAGTAGTCACGGCAAGACAGCATTGCCACAGGAGACAAAGGGCGGATAGCCTAGGCCCCAGGTGGGAACCTTCATCTGGACAGAACATTATGGCTTTGAAGTGTGCACAGGGCTTGTGCAGTCCCCAAGCTCTAAGCATGGTTCTTGCCTTCTAGTCACTGCTGTTCCATACCTCCCCTAGAACATTGGATTTGTATGTTTTAAATCAAGTTTGCAGGACAGTGAAGGGAAAGAAAGGGAGGTACCACCTTAGCCTTAATCCCTGACAGAGGGAAGTTGACTCATAGCTGCACAGAGCTGAAAGGGCAGGGCTGCCCAAGTCTCTCTCACAGACCTCATCAGCAAGTATGCTAAGCAGCCAACCCTATTCACAGCACAGACCTGCCTGGCCTGAACTTCCCCTCTCCTCTTCCAGGAAAAAAGTCTTATACCTGCCTCACACCCTTTTCTGCAGGTAGACCCCAAGGCCCAGTGAGTGCACAGACACTGACCGTGACCCCACCTGACCACCAGCTTTTTGTCTGAGCTGTTGTAAGAATTCACCAGGGGTAAGTGTTTGATGGACAGAGCCCCAGTCATAAAAATGACCGCAGCAGCACCTACAGTGCAGTCTTGGCAGACTAGACAATCTCGGGGGAGGGGGATGACAAGAGGGTCTTGGGCCAACAAAGAATGTGCTGTTATTTATCCTCTGAACATGGGCAAGCTCAGAGGAAGCTGGAGGTATTATAAAGATGGTGGCAAGCCTGTATGGGAATGCTTTTGGAGGGCCTCCACCCTGCTGCATAGAGTAATTCATTCTAGGGCAGGTCCGTTAGCTTTGGAGACATAAACTTATGTGTGTGCCTGTTTATATGTGTTTGTGCATGTAAGTGGCCACAAAGGCCCAAAAGGGACATCAGAACCTCTGGAACTAAAGCTCTATGGGGCTGTGGGCCGCCTAATGTGTGCGTAAGGAGCTGACGCTGAGTCCTCTACGAGAGAGCCAAGTGATCAGAAATCACAACGAAAAGGGGGTGGGATGCAAGCTGTTAGCATTTCCTTCCACTGGCCAGGAGCTCAGTCTCCTCCCTAGGAACTAGGACACCTTCATGTGACCAGGGGCTCAACAAGCAGGGGTGCTCTTCATTTCCAACTTCTCTCCTTTGCGAATTTCAAACTGTAAATGCAGATCTTACCAAAACTGACTCTGCGCAGACACATTTGCAACGCTGATCTTACCAAAACTGACTCTGCGCAGACACATTTGCAACGCTGGCTACTCGCTCTGACCCACACTGCCTTTACTCCTTACCTACTGACAGTGAGTGTGTGTCTTGTTTGTCTTCAGCTGACACCCTGCTGGGAGAGGGGTCAGGGAAGCCACCTGTGCAAGGGCCATGGGTGGAGAGGGTTTGCTCACCCATGAGTAGGGTCTTCAACTGCTTCTCTGAGGAGTTGGGAAATGTGCAGCAGAGGCTGGAGCTGGTGTCTCTGTGGGATAGCTGTGGGTGGAGAAAAGTCAGAGGGGGATCTAAAGGAGAGCCAAACCCATGGGGAGGCGCCTGCAGCTTAGACTGAAAGCATTGTGCAGAAATGCCCCCGCCCCCACCCTTGCCATTCATAGAACCCATGCCATACGTCTCTCAACCAGGGTCTGTCCTGAGTCAAATTTCAAAGTTTCTTTTGTTGTCTTGTTTGAGAAAGGGAGCCCTTAACTCACTGTGTAGCTCTGACTAGCCTTGAACTTACTGTTTGCCTGCTTCTACCTTCTAGGAATCAGGACTACGCCCTGTACGCCATGTCTGATTTCAAGAATCTTTAAGTAGGGTATATAGAAAAGTCAATAAAAGATTCACACTCAGGACTTGGAGTGCCTTGCTGCAGATGTCCTGCCTATTTCTTTTTACCACATTCTGGCTCCATCTCAAATTTGTGACATCAAAATACAAGGGGATCATACTAAATGCACAAGCCAGGACAAGAAATGGCTAGTTCAACTGTTTTTCTGCAAACAAACACAGTTGTTAAACTGATTTCACACCTGCCTTTGAGCTTGGGGCCTTCGTGCATATGTAGTGATAACCAACCACTTGACAACACCAGAGGTGGAGAGGCCACCACTGCGCCTCCACAAATGTAGATCTGAGCACACAGCAGTCCCTCCCTTGAGGACACAACAACTTCTGAAGGCAAATGGCATTTCCTCTTCACTTGTCACTAAGACAATACTTTTCTTCTCCTGCAGTCCCTGGAGGTCATTACTTGGCAGTGACTTATTACAAGCATGAGGGACAGTCCTGATGAGCAGAGGCTTTTACACTCCTAACACACCCAATTTCTCCCCAAAGCAATGTGTACACAGATTGTTCTCAGGATCAACCCAGCGTCTCTTCTCGGTTTTTGCTTACAGTCACTTGTTGTCTTTGGAGGATGGGAAGGCCTGAGTTCATGCTGTGGCCTGGACTGGATTGCATCTGGTCTGGGTTTCATAACCTATGCTCTGAGGACAGTTGTAGTCCTTATTTTTCTATTCTGCTAATAAACTTTTCCTACTGTGTCCACGCTGAATGGAAAAAAAAAAAGAAATAAAAAGAGGATATGGCTGCTCCTAGGTATGGTGGAGGCAAAGATTGAAAAGCCACCATGCAGGCATCCACTAGGGCCACTGTGCTTACCCCACTCAGCTCTGTCAGAGGGCTTTGTCATGTAAATCATCTTGGGCAATAGGCTACCTCTTCCAGAAAAAGGAAAAGGTATTTAGACTTTGTAAAATGCTTGGAAACTCTGGATCGTTTGCTAACTCAAACAGATTTTACTCAAGTATAGGGAAAAGAAGCCACAGTGGCCACAGCAGGGAAACATGAGCCCTCCTGCACCCCTCCCCTTCCAGTCACAGACCTTGTCTACAGACTGTGGCTGGCGTCAGATGGAAAAGGCTCCTTTATGCTTCATAGCTGAGACATTCCCTAAACATGAGCTCAGAGACAGCCGCAGAGCAACTCCAGTAGATTACAGACATGGCCTAGGGAAGCAGACTGGCAGATGACTCAGAAAAGGCTGGGGCCTAACAACACAGTATTACTGAATCTTTTCAAAATCTTCTCCTTGGCCTGGGTGAAAAAAAAAAAAAAAAAACTCCCTAAAATGCTATGGCTTCATCCTCCACTTCATCCTTTGTTCTGTACAAGGCTGCATGGAGCAAAGAAAGGAAAAACAAAGGTACTGTTGAATTCTGATCAGTCTGAGCCTCAGCAAAGCTGCTATTAGAGGCAGACTGACTACCCCAGCAGCTAGGCTCTCTTCTTTTCCCCCTATTACCCAAAAGCAAAGCAGGGTCTTCAGAGGAAGAAGAGAAGACCTGGGAGGTCAGGGCCATGGGTTACCATGCTCACTCCCACAAGCCACTATGACACAGACAAAGGCCCCTCAACTCACCTTCAGGGTGCTGGGACAGCACTGCAGTGAGAGCTGGAGCACCGTAAGGGAAGTAGGTCTTGAGGGAAAACTTCATCTGCAAGAGTCAAAAGGAAGTGGCATGAATATTGGGACTGGGGGCAGTGAGGACAACACACACCTCAGCCTGCTCTCAGCCCTGGAGACCCACTGTGTGCTAACACAGCAGAATGTATCCTCAAACATTCTGTAAACAGGCTTCCAATAATCTCCTAAGGAGCCGAAACAGCATCCTTCCGTAATCATCCTCTAGAACTCAGGGAAGTCACATCTTGCTGACATCTTTACTGAGGTTTCTTCTCACACAAGCTCAGCCAGAGACATTATCTTCTGTTTCAGAGAGGGCTGCTAAACACATGTGGGACTCAGGGTCTCTGTGTGGCACTTACTACACTCAAAGTCTCACACAAGCTGCTCTTATGCTGAGGGCATGCGGTTATACTTACTAACCAGTATCTCCAAAAGGCACAGAGGTTTTGAAACAAAACTAACACACAGCAGCATAACCAGGTAAGTCTACAACACACGTGCTGTACAGGCCTGAGTATACGTATAGCTTGATAATCATGCATGAGTGTGTGATCCCACTGGACCAGGACCGCATCATGACACACAGGGTGCTGTTATCACTCCGGGGAGTTTCCTGTGACTCTTAAAGTTGACCCCCAAACCCTAGCCTGGCAATCCACATTTTTTTATTTCACACAGGAGAGATCAATAATTAGATCGCTTATTCCCCCAGGTTCACACAGACAGACACACTGCGTGAGTGAGCATGGTAACCCATGGCCTGCTTCTGCATGTAGCCTCCCTGCTCACAGGACTCATCTGACTATGTGCACATATCTTTCTTTTTCACTGCTTAGAAGTCATGAATACCCCAGGATTTGCTTATCTTACCCCTCAAAGATGAGTACAACTAAAACTGCTACTGATATTCATGTCTATTTTTTAATACATTTTATTTAAATTAGAAACAATCTTATTTTATGTATCAATCCCAGTTCCCTCTCCCTCCCACCCTCCCATGCCCCCCACCGACGCCCCCAGACCATCCCCAGGGAGGGTGAGGCCTTCCCTGAGGGATCATCAAAATCTCTTAAGTTCATGTCTATTTTTGTGGATAGGTCTTTCAGTTTTCTAGGGTGAGTACCATGGAAGTGGTAACTTTTCAAGGCCAACAGAGTTCCGTTCCCACCATCACAGGATGAGAATTACTTGCCAACACTGGGTGTTCTGGAACTCATTGATTTTAGCTGGTCTGCCTGGCGTGAAACATGACTTCATACATACTTGCTTCTGAGCTTTCTCTGTGTGGCAGGTGACGCTGAACCCTGTCATGTGTGCAGCGTTAGTTTGAATAGCTTTCTGAAGTGTGTGACCATAAAAACAAACAAACAAACAAACAAAAAACCCTAATTTGTTTCCCATGAAGCTGTAAGAGATAAGTCTTCTAGGATAAATACTGCAACTATTTCCTCTAAGCTGCTGGACAACCTGTTCATCTTCAAAGACATCTACTACAGAATAAACGCCATATTTTAATAAAGTCCAATTCATCCATTTTTTTTTTTCTGTATGGCCAAGGTTTTGTTTTGTTTCTTTTCTTTTTGGCATTGTTTCTAGGAAATCTTGGATCATCCAATGTTTAAAAAAAGGATATGCTATGACATTTTCTCCTATAGTTTTGAGTTCTCTATTGAAGCCTATGATCCATCTCAGAACACCTTCTGGGTGCCTTCTATGGAAGTCTGAGGTTTACCCGCTCCCCACAAATGGGTATCCAGTTGTTTTTACCTACCCCTCACCATGCTGCCCTAGCCTCTCCTGTCAAAGCTCCTACAAAGGGGCTTGTATCTAGACAGCGTCTGTCCTGCCAAGCCCTCACTGGCTTAATTACTCACTCACAGTATGAGTCCTCAAGCGGTTTGCTTTCTGGCTTCTGTGGGTCCTTTGTATGCCCAGCTTAGCCTGAGAATCAGCCTGTGGGTTTGCATTTGAGAAAGCCTGCTGCAGGGGCCAGAGTCTGTCATACAAGGCCCTAGGTGTGATTCCCAGCCCTGCAAAGGGGTCACTGCTCACCTGAGAGGAAACGAGGAGCAGAAGGGCAGGTTGGGGAACAGACTTGGGCTGTTTTAGTTGCCCTCAGCAACCAACTTCCAGGTATTTTGTGGGGTTGGGCTTGCCCACTTCACGCATTCCGAATCCCTGCCTGCTTATAACTGGCAGGTCTCCTGATGAGCTGATCTTCTGTCACTGTGAATGCTACTGTCTAAACCTGTCTTCTCTACATGTCAGTGTCCTCCTCACTCCTGAGCCCTGCACATCCTTTTTGAGCATAAGCTTTCTGTCTTTAGAATGGGGTCTCTGAAAACAACACATACTGGGTCTTGTTTCAAATCCAATCCGATATACCTGCCCCTTTACTCCATTGTTTGATTTTCATAATTGGGATTGGAGCTATCTTTTTGCATGCTTTTCTTTTGCCCCATCTCTTTCTTTCCTTCATTGGACATCAAGTGGAACTCTGTTTCCTACCTCAGAAGTTCTGAGACCACCTTGAGTTGTGGTTCCATGCCCTGATGTCCCAGGGGCCTTAGTGAGAAGTGGGCATGGTTCCCCTGCTGAGGCCCTTCCAGTCCTTACCAGCTTTGTCGGATTTAACAGTATTCTACCCCGTGTGATAACTTCATCTACAGGATTCTCAACACAGCCCACTGTCTCTCTGTTCAACCGCTGGAACCCACCCTGACCTGTGGCTGCCTGTGCTCCACAGAAGCTTAGACTGGGAGCTCAAGTTGTTGCCTGCTGCTGAGCAGGGCACTCTGGTAATGCTGTTCCATGCTCCCCACATGGAACTGGGTGAGAGAAAAGAGTAGAGGGGAAAGGAGCATGTATGACATTCTCTCTGACCGAGGGATACGAGTGGGGTAGAGAGGACTGCACTTTGTAACCAACATGGCAGGACCTGTGGAGCCTGACTCTGCACCCCATAAACACCACATGTCTGCAACAGAAAGCAAACGTAGAAACAGCCAAGTGCCAGGAACTGGAAAAAGGCTATGCTGTGGTACATTTGTGCAGTGGACTGCCACAAAGCCACCTCTCACCACAGAGTCCCAGGCCTGACGCCATCTTCAAAGCACCAAGTAGAGAAGCTAGGCTCAGGGATCACATGTGCTGCCCCTCTGTGTGTCTCAGAAAGGGCAACCAACACCAAAGCCATCTTTGTTGTTCCGTGTAGCTAATCAAAGTACTTTGGAGAAAGAAAGGTGATAATGAATGCAGAACCCGTCTGGGAGGTAGGTAGAGGATCAGTCACACAGGAGTCAGCACACCAGTGACCCAGGTCTTGTCTGGAGGTGGCTTTACTGACACTTGTTCTGCTCACAATAACCGAAGGGGAGAGTTAGGACAGACAAAGTGGTGCAGAACTGTGTTATGATTAGTCCTGAGTCTACACTTGAGTCGTCCACTAAGAAGGTGGGCTGTCAGAAGCAGCACCAGCAAGAGAAAATAAATCACCATATGTCGATGTGAAGGTGTTTGCAAGGTCAGGAGGCTGCTGCACACCTGTGTGGAGCCAAAGGCAGGAAATAAGCTCTTGTTTGTTTTGGATTCCTATCGTGCCTAAACCAGGGCCCAGTGTGCACCCCTCTCTCTCCTAGACACATGTGGCCAGCAGTCACTGTTTCAAATTAGAAGCACTGTAACTCCAGTCCAAATCCACAGCACCAAGGCCAGCAGACACTCAAGGTAAACCCAGAAGAACACTCAAGTCAATGCTCAAGAAAAAACTTTCTCTGGTCCTCTGCCCAACTTAGGGATCCCAGAAGTACAGCCAAGGGCAAGGTTTGCTGGAGGCCATTTCCTCTGGGGGGATACCAAGAGTAGGTACAGGAGGACAGCACACATTTACAGCTGCAGTGAGTGCCAGCCAGTGCCTTTTGGCTGAGGTCTCCTTCCAGATACCAAGATGGGAACGACCCATGCTGCTTGCAGTAATCTACTTAACTTCCCCGGGGAAAGAGGGGTGGCATGAATAAGCCATATATATGGATGGTTGCCTTAGAAAGCAGAAACATCTGCTAAACCTTGGGCTGAGTAGGGTTTTAGCAGGCTCAGCACCCTAGCTCTGCCCTCCTCAGTGAAACTGCAGACCGCAGCAGAGGACACTAGGCCACCTTCACAGAAGCAGTGTCCAGAACTAATGCCATTCCAAGGAGAAAGGCACCACATACACATGATCCCAGGGCCCAAAGCTGTTCCACACCCTGCTTCACATGGTCACTCTTACTGCCCGGCAGCCTCTGCTGATAGGAGCTTGGAGTCCTCTGGTCTGCTGATGACATCCAACTCCCACTAGTTCTTCAAGTCCCTCCCTCTCCCCTCCTCCTTTCTCTCCTGGGGCTCTGGTGGGAATAAAGACAATGATCACTGAGAACGCCCAGCTTGCAGTGTCTAAAGTACATCCCAGGTAGACTGCACAGTGTCTCTTGCTGGCCTCAGGGCCAGCTGCAGACAAAAGGGCAAACACAGACAAAAGGGGTGGGGAATGAGGGCTAGTGGTGGGGATTTTCTCCCTAGGGAGATGACCAATTCCAAGACACTCAGACACAGCAGTGGGCAAATGGTTACGGCACAGGGCATGGGAAGGCAGACAAAACCTTTACTTATTTTCAATTAAAATGTTTCATCTCTGTGGGAGTGGTCCATTTGGATGCTTTCTTTGTGAACAAGACTCCATCAACATTTCTGAAAACAAGGCTGGGAGTGTAGCCAGTGTCAAAGCCTGCGCCTAGCACGTGTGAGGCTGTGGGTAGTCTGCAGTGCCAGGAAAACACGATTTCTCAGAGCAAAGATGCTTTCAACTGGTTACCGAATGCCCACGGAAAATCCTTCACGCTGAGAGGACCAAGCAGCGTGCACTGGGAGACGTACCTGCTTGTTCTCTTTTCCCAGAGCTTCTGCCATGCACCAGGTGAATACCTGAAGAGCAGCTATCACTTCTGGGGCTCCGTCAGTCTCCAGCAGCACAAACCTGAACAAAGCAAAGTGAGGTGACAACACACTGCTAGCATGCCATGGCTTGAGCTGTGTCTTACTTCCTCCCGAGTGAAGGAAGGCAGGAGGAAGCACCCTCCCTAGGGGCTGGGCTGGCTACTGTGCTCATGGTGTTCTGTTTTCACCAGCTGAGGCAGAGCTGCCTGGAGAGTGAGTGGCACACTCCTGGGGAATCAGGTAGACTTGGTTTGGTTTCCAAGCATTTTTATACAATTAAGTTTTCTTTTTGTTTAAGAAAAAAAAAATTTTTTCAAAATTGACTAGCCTTAAATAAAAACACTAGCCCATATTCTTACATCTGTGGCCATTTAAGTTAAAGTTGGTATGTTTTAAGTGCAACAGAAATGGTGAGGTATTGGTTGTAAAAATTCCTTTTCTAGGTTTGGAGAGATGGCTCGGTGTTAAGAGTACTTGCTGCTTTTCCACAGAATTTGAATTCAATTGCCAGCATCCGTATCAGGCAGGTTACAACCTTCTGCAACCAACTCCTGGGGCTCTGACCCCTCTGACCTGCACAGGCACCTGCACTCGTTTGCATAAACCCACGTAGACATGTATACACCTACACATAACTAAAAATAATAAGTCTTAAACAAAATTTCCTTTCCTCGAGCCTGTTGTCTGCCCTGGAGTCCTTCCTCCATGTGGATGTGAGAGACAGGTGGTTTGAAGGCAGGTCCAGACCCTTACTGCTCATACCACATGGGGTTGGAAGCCTTAGTCTATCTTTAGGACTCCACAGTTACAACCCCCATGAACTTCAGGGCCAACCTGGTGTGTTACACACTCCTTATCGCTGGTCCTCTAAAACCAGCACCTGAGTCTTCAAAATCCTTTCCGGAGGCTCTGTTCTCAACAGCTGTGTCTCCTGGCTTTCTTCAAGATCTTTGACAAAGCCCAGGCGGCCCTCGTGTGGGGAAGGGCTGTACTGCTTGCTTTACTTGGCGCTGGGGAAAACCAGGCATGTGTCCCTCCCTAATTCAATCCCACTTCTCTCTCGCTGAGTATAAAATGGTTCAAGAATACTGCCTCAGTCCCAGCTACTACTGCCTTTTCCAAGCACACTGACTTCTGAGTTTTTACTACTAACTACCCAGAAATTCAAGCCTCTACTTTCCCACAACAGCCAGAAACTACGGCAAGGATTTTTATTTATGTTTGGAAGCTGGGCATTTCCAGATCAACTGTTCCCAAAGACGTTGTATTTACCTGAACATTTCATCTACAATTCTGAAGATGGCAGGGTGGCAGGCTGCTTGAGGCTATCAAAGGAAAAGACCATGAGACAGTGAGATACAATAGGTATCCATCAATACCAACTTTGGGTTATCAGGCAAACAATGGTCGGTGGCTGCTCCAGAAAGGAGGCTCATTCCTTTAGGCTAAGTAAAGAGCACAGGGTGCTCAGGAAACCCCACACATAGTGCCAACAGTGGTTCTCTTTGGCCAGGGGCTGTGGGAAAACTTATTTTTGTATTCCTATTATAACCGCATCTTCTATAACAAGTCCGTATGATATAGGGGGAAAAAGAGCAAGTTTCATGAGCAGTTAAAAACCACTTTATGACAACCGGCCACAGACCTGTCTTAGGACCTCCTCAGCTGGCCTAGAAGTACCTCAGCAGCAGCCTCTGCTGTCCTTTCACCCTCCACCCCACCCCACTTCTCCTCTGCCCCCTATTTGGTGAAACAGGTGGCTCGGTTAATGGAGGGCAAAGCTGCATGACACACAGTGATAGCTAGATCTCTAGTCCTAAACAGCCTGTTGGTGGGTTTTTGATGATTTCAGTCCAAAGAAGCTGGCTTCCTGGGGCCTAGGTAGGACCTCAGTGGGCCTCATCAGCTTCCATGTATTTTTGCTCAGGGCTTAAAACTTTGCATTATAAAACTCACAGTGATATCCAGGTATGAGTTGGCCAGACTCTAATGAAGGGAATTTCTGAAGGCATTTTGCGCTTGCTATGACTAGTTTTGGGAAACATTTTTTCATAGCCATCTCAGGCCCTATATGTCACTTTCCTGAACAACCCTGAAGAAAGCTGAATGAATCTCCTGGCTTCCCATTGGTTAGTTCTGCTGTGGCAGCTTAACTTGCAACATGGAGCATGTGCCATCTAGTGGTCATACGTGAGCATTACAGACTGCCACAGACAAAGGCATTTACAATTTCCAAGTTAATGCTTTCTGATTTTCAAATAAAGTAATGCATGATTTCTAACCCTTTGTCAATACACATCTTTATCCAAATGACATGAACCTCAGATTCTCATAAACTTGTTACCTACTTAAATGAATAACAGAGAAAGGGCAGGCTATTTCTTGGCTTTGATCTCAGAAAGTCATTTAATTTGCCCGCTCCTCAGACTCATTGTAAACACTAACAGTTGTTAGGGCACTTGGACATAGGCCCAAAAGACACTGAAAGAGTTTCTATGTGATCATAATGGAAAAGTCCAAACAGGAGAAAATCAAATCGCATGTCTTAAAGAATTCAGCTAAGTTTGCCAGGACAATTCTGTTTTACGTAGGAATGCACCGTCTAAAACACAAAGCCCCCAGCAGAGCCACACACACACAGGCACAAACACAGTGCTGAATGTGCACTGGGGGAAATGGGACCAAAACTAGATTTGGGGAAGAAAAGCCACTTTCTTTTATTCTAATGCCTTAAGGAAAGTTTGAGAACCACGTGACCTGATGACATGGATTTCTAAAGTAAAGAAAAGCTGTAAGGGGGGCACAAGGAAGAGTGTTCTAAAAGAGGATGAGCTCTGCTTTGACGCAGTGGTTTCCTTCTGAGCAGCTCAGCTGGTGATTCCAACCTTAACAGGCCATGGAGTCCAGCCACTCTGTGTGCGGCTGGTCTCTGTGTGTGGATGTCTCTTCATAAGGACCTCAGATCAGTGGTGTCTCCCAGCTTCCACAAGCCACTTCAGGTTCTAAAACAGGAAGAGACGAGCAGGCAGGGAACCTGCTGAAACAGCCATGACAAGGGTGATGACGCCTAACCCTCCTGTTACTCTCACTGAGACAACTCTCCACTCCACTGGAGGGGTTCTCGGGGCAGAATTTCAGTGTAAGTTGCTTCATAAAGACCAAAGTATTCTCAGGTCCCTGTGACACACAGAAGCCGATTTTCTCACCAGAGCTAAAGCTTCCCTGGATGCTTCTCTGAGAGCCAAATTCTACCTCTTACAGAATCCTTGTGAGGAGAATGCAGATTTGCACCCTCTGCACAGTGTTTTACAGGTGTGTGTGTGGGGGGGGGTTGGGGTGGGCATAGGAGGTCACTGTGCATTCCAGTGCTCTACAGCCCTGCTCTAAAATCTGTGCAATTATCTTTCCTGCCAAAATAAGGAGAAAGGAAAGGAGAGAGGGAGGGAGGGAGGGAGGGAGGGAAGCTGCCTTGGGTCCCATCTGCTCCTCTGTTTTTTTTTCTCCATCCCTCCAAAAGCTGCCCCTTCTTAAACCCTCTCCTCCATCTGGCCTGACGATCTTCACATGGAGACTGCTTCATGCCAGAGAAACCGTGTCATCAAGAGATACCAGGAACACTCTACCCTTCCTTGCCCCTCAACTTCAATGAGCACTGGAGAACTGACAGATGATGACAGAGACCTGTGGCCTCCTCGAAAGCTTCCTTTGCTGGGACTCTCTCCTCTAGGTTCCCTGGCCCCCAGGACAGTTCACTTCCATCCCTCAACAGCACTCAGGAAGATGAGTCAACGTGGGCAGTACAGAGCATCCACAGGACAGGTGAAGGTGCAGGAGCCCACTTCCCATCTGCACCATGAGCTGTGCGAGCGAGCGAGTGAGCGAGCGAGTGAGGCTGACTCTCTATCTCAACCATGGAGCTCGTTAAAACTAATTTCATCCCAGTGTACCAATGATTATTATGACTACCTGACAGTCCACAGAGGCTGAGAACTCACAGCAACTTCTCAGGAAGAGGACACACTTTCCTATCAGTTGCTTAAGAAATTGGAGAAGGAAGGAAAGAAGGAAGGAAGGAAGGAAGGAAGAAAGGAAGAAAGGAAGGCAAAGAAAAAAGAATGAATTGAAAAAGTAACAGATTTACAAAATTTTTTAAATTTTTTGTTTAACTGTGTATGCTAGAGAGAGGGGCAGAGAGCAAGGGAGATTGAGAGGGAGGGAGACAGAGTGTGTGTGTGTGAGACAGTGTTTGTGAGAGACAGTGTGTGTGACAGAGTGTGTGTGTGAGAGAGTGTGTGTGTGACAGTGCGTGTATGTGAGAGACAGAGTGTGTGTGTGTGAGACAGTGTTTGTGAGAGACAGTGTGTGTGACGGAGTATATGTTTGTGAGAGAGAGACAGTGTGTGTGTGAGAGAGAGACAGAGACAGAGAGAGAGAGAGAGAGAGAGAGAGAGAGAGAGAGGGAAAGAGAGAGTGAGAGTGAGATTGTGTGTGACAGAGTATATGTTTGTGAGAGACAGTGTGTGTGAGACACATACACACACACACACACAGAGAGAGAGAGAGAGAGAGAG